AGCAGGAAACACTGAAGAGATTTTCTAAAACCTTACAGGGCAGAGGAATGCTCCGGGGTACTTGTTAAAATGCAGATTGCCAGGCCCTGCCCTCAGAGAGTCTGAGTAAGGCCCCTGGATGGTGTCTGGAAATCTACATTTTTAACAATCACCTAGATGATTATGACATAGAGGGTTCGTGGACCACATTTTGAGAAAGCAGTGAGGTCTATGTTGCCCCAAGGGTCCAGGGTGTGGCCTCTTGGTAGAAGTGTCCTGTTGGGTTAGGTGGCCTTGAGCACCTAGGGGTTGACAATAACCGGTAGGAAGTCAAAGAAAGACAGGCAGGAAAAACAAACGAACAACCGCCCTATTCCCTGGACAGCTGCCTGTCTCTTCCGTGCCTTCGTATGAATCCAGTAAAGATGCCTTTTGTGGGCAGAGGAACTTGACAAAAGCGCCCATTCTTCTGGTTGGAGAAGCCAGACCAAAGCTTTGGGAGCAGAATTCAGTCCCCACTTGTCCCTTGGTTGGGAGCCTCATAGGACCTGAGACAGTGGGTGTGGGTGGCCCTTTGGTCCTCTTAGTCCCTGACAAGTAGCACACACAGGAGCACAAGTAGGAAATGCCGATAGGGCTGGAGAAGCACAGAGGCAAGAGTCCATGTTCTGGACTCAGTCGCGACTGAGCTCGACTTATTCAATGGCCACACAACCAGGAGTACGTTTCCTCCCCTCTTACTACAACTCAGGGACTTCGTGTGTAAAACAGAATCACACTGTCGCCTACCAGTGAGACAGGATCAGAGCAAAGGTAGCCATTTAACGACTGTCGGAAACTTTTGGTGAATATCAGTAGCCCCCAGCGACCACAAGAGGGTGGGTGGGTACGCTGTGTCTCCTTCCTCATAACCTCACCACCGGGAGGGATGCTATAATGAAAGCAAGTATGAGGAGATGCTGTGCCACAGACAAACACAACTAGCAGACAGGCGCAAAATACAGCTGTTGGGGAGGTCAAAATACGCTGGGGGAGGTCTCAGCGGTCTAGCCCTAGGCATCCTCCAAGCATCACACAAGTAAGTTCTCTCTAAGGCCCATGAGGCCCAGTCCAGAGAGGCCAAAGGCAACAAAAGAAAGAGAACCAGAAGCCCAGTAGATTCTAAACACATCACCTTCTTACTACAATTCTGTGAAAGAAAATCCAAACTATCGCTATTGCTATACCTTTTCATTTTTCTTTAATAATCTTAGTATTAAAGAGTTCATTGTATCAATGACCCGGGCTGAAGCTTCCTCCAGAAAAGTCTCCTGTGAGAAGACTTTATGTCTCCAAAATAAAAGGGAGCCTCAGACTCTGCCAGGAAGGTTTTGCTTCGAAAGAAAGGGGTGATGAACAGCGACTATCTATTCTAGACAGGGCCGGCTAGATACCTCGTGGGACCTAGCGCAAAATGAGAACGTGAGGCATCTTGTTCAGAAAGCAAGAAAAAAGCTCTTGTCTTTTTCCCAACGTCACTCTCTCTCTCAGCCTGTCACGGTGTCTTCGCTCATGCTGCCATAACAGAATACCACCGTCTGGGTGGCCTAAACAACAGAAGAGTATTTCTCACAGTTTTGGAAGCTGGGAAGTCCGAGATCAAGGTGCTGGCAGATTCCGTTCCTGGTGAGAACCGCTTCCGGGCTTGCAGATGGCCAGCTCCTTGCTGTTTCCTCACGTATGGGGAGAGAGCGAGCTCTGGCCTCTCTTCCCCTTCTTACGAGGACACTGAACCCATTGTGGGGGCCCCACCCTCGTGACCTCATCTAAGCCTCATCACCTTCCCCCAAAGGCCTTGCCTTTAAAGACCCTCATCTTGGGGAATTGGGGCTGCAACATCTGAATCTTGAGTAGACGTGAATATTCAGTCCATGACACATGGTGTCTTCATTTGCTATTGAAAGTCGCACTCCTTCCTGCTTGGGGATACTGTCTGGGCATTGCAGACCCCGACAGGTGCCCGGGGGCCTGCCCTCTGACTTGGTGCATGGAGCACACGCACCCCACCCCACGCCACACCCTCTCTCAGCATCTGCCAGGGCAAAGGGCAGCAGTGGTCACTGAGTAGGGGCAGAGGAACGGGCATCCAAGAACCCATCCCAGGCAGGTGGGAGGTAACTGGAAGTAGGACCCCATGGGAGCTGAGGCGTGCATTATTGTCCCTGGGGCACGCATTATTGTGTCATCAGTATTCACTATCATAACACAAAATCAAAGTATTTGAAGACATACCTGCAGAGCATTAGCCCCAAGCATGGTACCTCCTCCTGTGTGCAGGGCTCTGTGTGACCATACGGATCACCTGCCCTGACGCTGGAACTCAGAAGACTCAGGTGGAGGGAATCCGGCATTGCTAAGGGAATTCACTAACACCAAAAAATCAATAGCAGGGCACCTAGAGCAGCATCTTACCCTTAACTGGTGCTGAAAAATATTTAGCACTGGGATTTTGAAGGTTCAAAACTATTTAAAATAGGCCTAGATATAGAGAATCACGAAAAATTCATACAAAATCCAACAGTCTAGATAAGATTTCTCAGCCTCAGCACTGGTGACATTAGAGACCGGGTGATTCTTTGTTGTGGGGGCACTTCCGTGTATTATGGGATGTTTAGCAGCATCCCTGATCTCTGCCCACTACATGCCAGTAGAACTCCCCTTCCCTGCTCCATCATGACAATTAAAAAATGTCTCCGGGTATTGCCTAATGTCCCCTGGAGGGCAAAGTTGCCCCTGGCAGAAAAAACACTGGTATAAAATGTGGCACTTTGGGGTTATTTTGTTTATGTTTGATGAGCAAGTTATAGATTGTACTCAAACGTTAAAAAGTTAAATTCTGATGGGTGACTTATATGGCATTTAAATTTTTTTAAACTAAAATCTGTGCCAAACCTACTATGCCTTTATTATCCGAACACGTGGCATCCTGCATCAGCAGATGACAGTAAGTGGAGAGAGGTTATCTTTTGGGGGAGGAAGTGAGGACTACCTTTCAGAACATTCAACAAATACTCACTGATGGGACTGCCATATAATCAACACTTGATTACCAAGGTTTGGAGGGAAGCAGATGTGTCTATATCCAGAAAAAAACAGATTATGCAAAAATCACTTCTGTTTGGCTCGGGGAAGCATGCTGTGTTTTCGTGTTGGTTTGTTTTTGCTGCACATCAATCTAACTGGGTTTTGTTTAGGCCGATATTGAAATAAAACAGAAGCCATCTGGGCTGGTCAGAATCTGAAATTCAGAAGGAAGACAGAAGGTCAACAATTTTGCATTTTACCAAAGGAACGTGAGTGAACTAAATTCTCTTCTCTTCTACTTTGTGTAGCCTTGATTATCACTTCCTAGAATAAAGAGAAGACGAATAGAGTTGAGATGTGATGGACAGTACTGGTGCCCCAGCCAGAACCCCACGTGTATCTTGGAACAGCCAGTTGTCTGTGCCTGTCTCCGACATCTGTAGGCTAACTGAGCACACCTATGGCTTTCCTCAGGTAATGGTCAAGTGTGGGAGGACAGGGGACAGTTCCTTTGACTTGAGCTGGGAGAAATCCCGACGTGTAATTCATGCTCCAGAATTTCCCATGGGATCAGGGTGAGGTTGGGACACTGAAATCACACCCATACCTCTCTTCTTCCCCTCCCCCACCCTGCCTCCTCCTTGCCTCCACTCACTTCTCCTGGGAGCTCTTTCCTGATGGATTAGATCTCAGGTCTTTGGCCCAGGCTCTGCTTCTGGGAGGAACTGGCCTAAGACATTTCCTTTACCCGCAAGACCAGGAGGGAAATGTGGCTTGTGCAGGTCT